AGGATTGAGGTTATTTATTGGCCATTAAGTTAATAGTCTCCATTAGAAGCACACCCTCCTCCTGTTTTCCTGGAGCAGGGGCGTCTGCAGGGCATGGTTGGAAAAAATCCAACCAGGTAGCTATAATGATGCAATCAAACCTTTGCACTGTTGTGGCCAACACTTCAAGTATTTTAACCACACTCTGCAGATGCCCTTGACGTGGAGTTATTTCTATAAATAAAACCCTGCAATTAAAAAAAAAAGATCGATTTGCATACTGCTTCATTTCTACCCCCTTCTTAGGCTATTTTGCTCTATCATGCAGCAAGAAGTTCCCACTGCATGGGGTGTCCCTCAGGCAGGCAGTGGCCTTTGCCACTGTGCTTCTTTTGCAACTGGGAGCTTCTTTGTGCCCCTGAGCAAAAACTCGTTTGGCTCGTTTCTCAAGCCCAGCTGCCTCCATCTGTGAAACCCTTATGGCCTTACTCCTTCAGATCCCATCTCTGGGACTGTGAATCATTCCCTCCATCTGATGTTCAAGCTCCAAGTACTACTATTGCTTACGCCAGCTAAAATGTACCACACACAGAGAAGACAAAGGTGTCAGCAGATCTGGGAGAAATTCATGGTTGCAAAACTACGGGTGGGGGGTTAAAAAAACCCCATAGCAATTGACTGTGCAGCTTACTTGGCCTCTTTTCTTTACTTAGTTGAGAATGGTCCTCTGTGTCAATGAATCAACTGAGTGGGAAGATATCTTAGAGATCATTCTAGTCCAACCTTCTGTTCAGTGCAGGATCCACTAAAGTGTTTCTGATGATTATCCAGCCTCTGGTCTATTCCACTGTTAAAGATAAAACGTGACTCAGCCATTCTTAAGTTAGCAGAAGACCAGATCTGCATAAAAATTACTTTCTTCTCCCCATTAATTATCTTTTCCCTCTCTTTTTATGATTCTGCTGTGAACTTGGTCCTCCTGATTTGTGACTATGCAAGTAATTATGTGCAAGATGATGGGCCTTCTGCATTGTCTGTGCTGCATCTTCTTTCAGCATGATACCAACCAGCAGGGAAAACATTCATGGCAAAATTGGAGGGGCCCAACTTCAGGACTTTGCTGGACTTCCCTAAGTGAATTCCTGCCCTTCTCACCCACCGCATCATCCAAGTTAAAAACCAGAAAAATCTCAATTTAGCAAGCATCCACTTAATGACTGTTTGTAATGTTGAGGATTTAATGGATTTCAGAAGCAATAGAACAACTTTATACTCACTCCTCAACTACAAAATGTCAAATCCGTTGTTTCCAAAGTCTGTCTGGATAACTGATGTTATTTGCATGAATTTGTGTCCTTTCCATGATGAAGTAAGTACAGTTGATACAAATAGCAATTTACTTTATGTAATTGATGCAAACTGAAGTAAAAACGTCAATTATGTCACTGCATAAATTATATAAAATATGGAAATTATATACATTTAAATTTAACCAACATTTGAATTTGACAATTTAACATTTGAATCATTTTTTTTCTGCCATTTGAAACAAAGAAGCATATGGAAAGATATCAAGACAAAAAATGGCCCCAGACAGAGGAGAGACAGATGATGCCATGATTATGCAATTACAGTAGATAGGCCCTGAAGTGAAACTGAATAGATACTTGATCTAGGAGAGAAAAGAAATGATTGGAACTAAGACATAGAAACTAAGCCTATTTCAACACCCTTGCTGTTTTCCCAATAATACAAGAAGGAAAGGTACTTGAGGGCTTCTGCATCTCAAGATAGAGACACACTTCAGATAAAGTAGATTAGCCCAAATACGTTCCTACTGTTTCCCAGGTGAAATTGGGGAGATCTGCTCTCCCTTCTTCTATTGTGCTGGAAGACTAGAGAAGCTCAGATTGAAAAAAGAGAGATAACAGGCACGAAGACACTTGGAAAACGAATTGCTTATTAAATGGGCAGATGTTGGCAGAAACAAGGCTGCAGTTAAGTCTGGCTTGTGACCAGAGAATAAGGAAAATGCCTACACCTCCCAGCACGCCCATTATACACCTTGGGTCACACAAAGCAAAGCACAGCAGATTATAAACACTGTGAAGCTACTGTTGGGTCATATTGGGATAAGAAGAAAAATAATCCATCTATATAGGTACAGACATTTAAACATCTCTCACTCCTGGGCTGGGGATAAGATGTGGGAAATATTGTAGGGCCAAGAAGGGGACTGATACTGTTAGGAATGGTCCAGTTGGGGGCAATAGCACTTAGACTTATAAACTGCTTCACAGTGCTTTACAGCCCTCGCTAAGCAGTTACAGAGTCAGCATATGACCCCCAACAATCTGGGTCCTCAGAAGGATGGAGGGCTGAGTCAACCTTGAGCTGGTGAGACTCGAACTGCCAAACTGCTGGCAGTCTGGAGTCAGCAGAAGTAGGCTGCAGTACTGCGTTCTAACCACTGAGCCACCAGGGCTTATGTGATCACCTTTTGTGAACTTCTGACAAGCCAAGTCAATGGGGAAGCCAGATTCGCTTTACAACCATGTTACTAACTTAACAACTGCAGTGATTCACTTAACAACTGTGGCAAGAAAGATTGTAAAATGGGGCAAAACTCACTTAACAATTGTCTTGCTTAGCAACAGAAATTTTGAGCTCAATTGTGATTGTAAGTCGAGAACTACCTATACAAACCAAACATAAGACTATAGTGGAGTAATGTATTTAGGTCTGGAGCAGGCAATATGGCTGTTAAGAGCACTTGGTTGGTTGCCAAGCTTCCTATCCACATTGATTTTGTTTGAATATAAAAAACATTGATATGGCAGACTGCGAAATAAATAGCATCAGGCATCTTTTTTATTGGCAAAAATGCCTCTGAACTGAAGATCTATCAGGAAAGTTGAGATGTTACAGGAAGTTCTGGCTATGAAATACTGAATGGAAACATTTGGGGAAATGGAGCCATTTGTTTGAGGATCTGGCTTGAGATCTAAACACAATACATGAGAACGTCCACAGGACATGCCAAACTGAACAGCTGGGTCTGGCCTGCATTCTTAACACTCATACACATCTTCCCAGAATCATGCAGCTCTTTAGGCAAATTGTTTATCTACTCTTTCTTTCACCACAGGACACACATAGGTCTCTGAAAAGAGCACACAATAAATCTGGGTCTTGTCCCAATTTTCTGAAATCTAGAATGCCACCTGTTTGGGGGATAAACCTATCAATAAGCCATATAACTTCATTAAATATTCTCTTGAATGGTCCCTAGCCTGCTTGCTAACTTAAGATTTGTATATGAAGAACAGATTTAAAAAGTAAAAGCCTGAAATCAGGTGATGGTAGTAGTGTTTTTTTCTTACCAGATTTTTTTTCCTGGAACAGTAAAAGCATTAAGATAACAGAAACATATTCAGAAAACAATGGGAGATTAGGAATGACAGTTTATTTCTAAAGCTGCATACCTTTCTAAGGTGAACAAGATATGTTACAAAGCCAGAGCTGTAGATACAGTATGGTGAAAATCCTAAGGTGCAGGTGCTTCCGAAGAGCAAAGTTTCCACAAAGAAGAGGGGGTCACATTATTCTCCAAAGCACCAGAGTTGGAAACTGAACAAAGAGAGAAGCAACCTAGAATTAAGGAGAAACTTCCTGACAGGGAGGACAATTAACCAGTGGAACAGATTGCCTCCAGAAATCATGGGCGCTCCATCACTGGAGATTTTTAAGAAGAGGCTAGACAGTCGCTTTTCTGAGATGGTATGGTTCTCCTGCTTGAGCAGGGTGGGGGGCTGGACTAGAAGACCTCCAAGGTCCCTTCCAACTGTATTGAATTACATTGCATTGCATTGCATTCCATTCCATTCATCCTCAGACACTGTGTGGACTTTAACTCTCAGAAATCCCCAGCCAGTTTAAAGTGGTTGAGGTTGAGACACTGGCTTAGAGCTGTAAGTACCTTAAACCCAGTATATTTAGTGGGGGGAGGATCACAAAGTCATCCAGTACATAGTACAGTGGTGGCGAACCTATGGCACACGTGCCAGAGGCGGCATTCAGAGCCCTCTCTGTGGGCACGCACGCCGTTGTCCCAGCAGAGTGCGCCAGAATAGTGAGCACGTGGCGTTTGGAAGTGACAGGGCAGGAAGTGAGCGAGCAAGCGGTGTTGGCCCCCCGGGGATGCCCCAGAGATGGCGAGGGACTGGCCCCACCGCCCTGCCCCCAGCCACGCCCATCAATTCTGTCATGACCACTGCAGCCACGCTACCTAGTGGGCCAGACCCCCACGCCCCCTCTGAGGGCACCACAATGCTGATGCAGCCCTGACACTTTGCGATAAATAAGTGGGTTTTGGGTTGCAGTTTGGGCACTCGGTCTCTAAAAGGTTCGCCACCACTGACATAGTAGCTGAATTTGGCTGGCATCAAATAATTAAGCAAGATCAGACTGGCTGCCACTATCGGTAGGATGGGAGAGCACCAAGAAATCAGAGTTGTCACTGGGAAGTAAAACAACAAAACAAGTAAATCATTGCTGCGGTTGCCAAGCACGGCAGGGGCTTGTCCATAACACCCCGGGAACCCGGCACATTGAAAGACAACCTGACCACAAGGCCTACGGGGAGCCTTGAAAGACACTTCTCGGCAACGGCAGGCAAGGTCCCCCCCGAGGCACAGCCAGCGGCTCTCCAAGGAAAGGAGCATCTCCGCGGTCCCTAAAGCGCTTCGGTGGGAAGAGAAAGCTCCGGGGAGGCCAGGAGGAGGTTCCGAAGCCGCCTAAAACTCGCGGTGCGTCAACGAGGACGCGGTTGGGAGGAGGCTCTCGGAGATTCCCTGACGTGTCTGAGTTCAGCTCGAGCCCAGGAGGAGGAGGAGGAGGAGGAGAGGAGGAAGAGGAGAAGGCGGGAGCAGAGCCCGCCGGCGTGCTTCCCTCTTTGGCCGCCCCGAGCTCGCGGCGCCCGGCGGCGGCGGCGGCTGCAGCACAGCAGCAACAGCGGCAGCATGTTGGGCAGAGTTCGCTCAGCTATGGCGCAACTAGTCGGGGGTCTCGGAGGCGGAGGAAGCCCCCGCAGTCCGCAGTCCGCCTCGCCCGCCGCCGGCGCCTCAACCGCGGCGTCCCCGCCTGTTCGGTCCGAGGCTGTCGGGCCCAGCGTTGCCGCCCCCGCTGCCGCCTCCACCACCTCCGTTACCACCGCGAGCAGCTCCTGCCGCGAGGCGCCCGGCGGCAGTTTCTCGAGGCCGGCTTTTCTGCAGCTCACGCCAGAGGAACTTCTGCTGGCCGATGACCACACGGGCAGAGCCATCCAGAGCCCCCGCGAGAGTCGCCGTCGCCTGCCCTGGAGCACCGGCTACGCCGAGTAGGCGAGAAAGAGCGGCCAGGGGCGGCGGAGGGAGGGAGCCCTGTAGGGGTTTTTGGGTGGGGAGGCAGGGCTGGAGGGCTTGGGCCGAGTGAATCTGCAAGGACTATCTTGAAGGCACGTGACAAAACGGCGCCTCCGAGCATGCACAGAGTGTACTCGCTTTAGCAGCGAGCCCGTCCTTATGTTTTTCGAATTAGAGCTAAGGAAATTCGGGGTGGGGACGAGAGACGGTCGATTAGTTAAATCGACCTGCTCCGGTTTGCCCGCTTCTATGCGACAGTGCGTAGTGCTGTTGATACGAAGATGTTTGTTTGTCCCTCGTCATGCCCGGACTGAATGGCCGAATCCTATAGGGGACTCGACGGAGGTATTAATTTTACCACCGACATCGAGGGAGAGTTAAGCCTAAAGCCTCCCCTCTTGCTTTAAAGATGGAAGATTTCGCTTCCCTCTTTAAATAGGGCTGGGAAAAGCAAAGTAGTTGTGTGCGTGACGCGCTCGGTTTCCAGCCGCTGCTTTGGCCAGCTGGGGCCCGATTCATTCATGGGAACCGCTCCGGAGCTGCTACGAGATTTCTCTTTTAAACGGCTAGTAAATCGTTAGTCTCCAAGGGCAAGGGCGGGTGTTAAACCGCGCCGTTAGGTGGATGAACTCCTGGGATAACCAATCGAATCTCCTCAATCCTTCCCTCACCTTAAGCAGCCTGAAGATAATGCGAGGGAATTTATATATAGGGAAAGAAAGATGGAGAGACCAAATCGTTGGTTTCTTTCCACTGCTCATTAAAGAAGAAGCGGCAATTATTACATCTGCATGCTGTCTCTGTTGCATAATATATACATGTTAAGTTAGCCGGGTGTTGCCCAATTTTCAGATTCATCGGCTATATATATGTGTGTGTGTGTGATTTTCAGATTCATCGGCTATGTGTGTGTGTGTATATGTGTGTGTGTGTGTGTGTGTGTGTGTGTGTATATATATATATATATATATATATATATATATATATATATATATATATATATATATATATATATATATATATATATATAAAGTTGTAAAGTTGATATCTATCTTATATATATGTGGATAGAGGCTCAATGGCTCTGTTGGGATACTTTCAAGCACAACTACATTTTCTCAGTATATTGTACAATCCTTCCTTTATGGCTGAGAAAATGTAGTTGTGCTTGAAAGTATCCCAACAGAGCCATTAAGCCTCTATCCACATTCTAGGAAAAAAGCTGGCTTGTGAAATCTAGACTACAAAAAATCCAGGCTAACTTTTTGCAGCCAACTAGAATCTATCTGATAATGACCCTTATGGTGTTAATGACCTTTACAACTTTAAGATATTCCTGCAGTTTTTAAGAGTTATCTTTCAAGTATAGATAGAAAATTAATATTGTAAACCACCCAGGAAGCTTCAGCTATTGGGTGTTTTTCTTTAAAAAAAAACAAAAAAACACCCTTAGACTTAATTGTTTACCAAAAGCCTGACTTTTAAGCATTTCTTATAAAGCACTGAGACAGCCAAAATGTGAATTTAGATTACTCAAGTAGGTGGGTGAGACCAACACAGCTGAATTTTCTGAGAATGACTGAGTTTACATATCAAACTAGGGCTAGGCCATAATTGCTTGTTTATGGATTTGTATGTTCCTTGAATCCACCAAAACTCAAATTGATTCTGGTGAGATATAAATAAATTTACTTTTATAAATAAACCTGGCTAATTGGATTTAGTTGCATGATTATGCAAAACAGAGGCTTAGTGTGTTATGTTTATATAGCTAAGGTTTTCTTTTACATATATTCTTATTTCAGAATTCTCATGAAATATTTATTTATTTATGTATTTATTTATTTTTCATAATTTATATGCCGCCCTTCTCCCCACGGGACTCAGGGCGGCTCACAGCATATTAAAATAACACAATACAAACAACACACACAACATTTCCCCTATAAAAACCAATTAAAACCAAATATTTGTAGCTGTGACATTATTAAAATCATTAAAAATTATCCCTATTTAAAATTCACCCTAGGTCAGT